TATATTTTGGCATCTCAAAATTATGTCACAGAGCTCATGGACATGAATTTAGGAATTCATTGTTTGATTCCCTATCAGATAAACACGTGGTATTCATATGTTTCAAATCACCTTCAGGGTGATGAAGGAATAAAAAAACCAGAACAATTTCCACTTTTAATAGCCAGTCCTGGTTTCTCCATAGTATTTCTCAGAACTGAGAGCACATAAGCCTCCCCTGAAGAGGGTGGGCATTCCCTTGCAGCCCCTGCCCCTGCTTGCAGCCTTTCTGCCATGGCACAGCACATGAACCAGCCTTTGCTCCTCTAATTCTCTGACACTGCAAATCTTCAAATGTTCTGAGTGCTGGTTCATTTCATCCTCAAAAGTCTGAACACCCAGACCATCAACAGACAGGAACAGGTGATTTTACAAGGGAGGCAGAAGTCAGCTGATTATGAGAAAGATGTGAAGGCAAAGGGAAGTAGAGAGTGAAATCTTCATCCATTCAAAAGCTGAATGCTGCAACCAGACTGTGCTTTACTTCAGTCCTAAGAATTCAAGATCCAACCTCTTTCCCTTGGTTCTCATCCTCTAAAAACAATTTAAACAAACAAAAAACTCCACACCTCTGGCAACAAATACTTTAGGCAAAAATAATTACAGTCTAATTACATCTGGAAATACCCAGCAAACACTGTTTAAAATAGAAGGAAATTTGTGTGAGTAACTCCCAGTATTAATTTCTACTTTTTTTAGATCATGTCCTTCACCTTCTAATAGAAGGTTTTTCTACCATGCTTTGAAGAATCATATATTGCTTTTGGAAACACAATGTTCAAGGTCAGGGGAAGTTCATCTTAAAAAAAAATAAAAACTAGGTGTCATGGCAAGGCCTGTTTTTTCCTGTTGTTCCACTTATTAACGTGGCACCCATCACCATCATATCTGGGGGGCACAGATCCAGAGATAAATGAGCTTGCAAGTGAACAGTCCTACTGAAAATGAAGCACACATGCTCTGAACAATGTAAGATTACTTACAAAAACAAGTATGTAAAAAGAAAGAAAAAGCAGCTAGGATTACAATAGAGTGGAGAACCAGGGAGTAAAGAGCTGTTGAAAGAAAACAATAAAGACAGACCTAACACAAGCAGATAAACCAGTGACCTCAGCATTACAGAAAATAAGTAAATTCTTCAATATATGCAATTATTACAGGGTCTTCATCTGCCAGACCACAACCATGAAATGCAGTCATAAGTCACAATTCAAGCACAGACAATGCTAAATATCAAGGGTGTTGAAGGAAAGTGAACATGGCAAATTCCAGTTGGTATCGGTGCCACAGCTGTGCTGCTTTCTCAGCAGCAGCAATGATTTGCACCAACAGAGGATCTACCCCAGAGGCTGCAATGAGAACCTTTGGCCACTGTAAATCCATAGCCTGTATCACCCTTCTGTCTTCTTTCCAGCTGAATAGTAACACAGGATAGAAACAAAAAAACCAAACAAAAAATTGAAGTTAAAAAACATTCCCATTACTTCACAGAAGGACCTGTTCTGTTGAAGGTTTGGCCCTCAAGGTCTAGAGCAGGTATGTATTTCAGCTGTCCTCTAAGACATTTTATTAAGACATGCATCATGCACCCAACTGCACTAATTTGCCAGCAAGTAAAATAAATATGTTCCAGCCTTTGATTTAAGCCACATTAGGACAGAATATTTTTGTTCCAAGATTAAAAAGCCAGACTAATTTAAGAGGTCATCCAAGGCCTGGATAACTGTGTGTAGTTCTAAGTGTTTGTGTGCAGCTCCTATTGCAGGTTGCCAGACCTTAATTTAATCCCACTTCAAAAACTTCATTCCTTCAGTCGGGTAGAGAGCTTGCCAGAAGTTTTTCTCCCCATCCTGCCTTGGACTTTCCATGAAGTAGAAAAATCTCAGAGTAATCAAGGTATACTTTGCAGTCTTTTTCTGCCCAATAAAGCTTTATAAACAAAAGCTTACAAGATATCAGTGTACAAGACAAAAGCAAATCAAACTCAGATAAGCATTTAGCTACATACATCCAAGTATTATAAGGAGGCAGAAAAACAGGCAAATATTCTTTGAATATTTATATAGACTATTTTCAATGCAGTTAGTGAGGTGTAATATTTAAACTATTAGCTTGAAAAACATTCAGATCTGTGATTCATCTTTGACCATCCACTTTTGTACATAATGCAGTGTAACTCCAGGGTTTTGGGGGCTTTTTGATATATTTAACACACTAGTACCTTCAAGAGCAAGAGTGGAAAAACAGAAACCAAACATGAATTCTGTCTAGAACCTCACTTACACCTGAAAATACAAGAACACTGAAGCTACTATAATGTCAGCAAAACACCCTCCATAACCAGTAGCAGCAGTTTCAGTGTAGGATTGGCAAACAAACAAAACAAAGGTGTGCTCTGCTGCAGCAGCTTCACTTCTTTTGAAACAAAAAGCAAGCTGGAAAAAGACTCAAATGTAAAAAAATCAATACCCTAGGGAGGTGGCATGCTGCCCCCTGCCTCCCCCAGGCTCCACCACAAGCAAGGGACTTTATTTATACTACTTAACTTTATTTAGACTTCTAGTTTTATTTATACCAGTACATTTGTGGTTCAAGACTGGAAAAGCACAGGTTCTGTATGCTGGCAATTAGGAGCCACACCTGCAGTGCCCTGGCCACCAGAGTGACCAGAGCCAGGGGCCTCTGCCAGCTTTTCACAGCGCTGCAACTCGCTGTGCGCTCCCACCTGCTCTGCACCTAGAGCCACCAACTCCCTGCATTCAAAGCACAACTGTTTGCATTAAAAGGACTCAGTGTCAAGTTGCAAAAGCTCTATCTAAATAACCTTCAGAGAGCTGTCCTTCCTCAGTTTTAATTGCATCTGCCTGACATCTCTTCCCTCTTCATCATAGTCCATTGGTTCTTGCTCTTATCTCACTGTACTCATTATACTCTGTAAGGACATTATCTAGTTGTTCTCATTAAGAATTTATTGAAAAAATTAAAAAGCATGGAGGCAGATATAGCCAGAAACCACAAAGACAGTGCTTCCTCACCTTCCCCTAACAGACTGTGACCCCTCCTACTCTCCTCAGCTGATTTCTTCCCATGCAGATAGAAGAAAAATCAGAGAAAGAAAGAAAGAATTTGAAACAAGCCTTCCTCCAAGCAGGGTGCTAGAGTAGACTTCCAGAGGTCCCTTCCAGCCAAAATAATTCTGTCACTCTACTTAAGCATCTGATTGAATCCAAAGCTTTTTAAGAGTTTGTTTCAAGAATAACTGCCAGAGGAAAACACAGAGATGGGAAGTAAAACCAAAAAAACCACAACGAATTTCAAGACAGACACATTATGTTTTCTCAACACTGAATAACTTACTAATAGTGGTACTGTTTGACAGCACTTTTAAATCAGTGGGTTTTAATTAAAGCTAGCATTAAGAGGTAAGCTGACTCAATAGGCAAGCATTCTCCTCAGCAGCAAAACAGAATTATGGTTGTGATCAATTAAAAAAGCTTTTCTTTTCTGCACTGGCCCTTCCTTTTAACGCAGATTTTTACACATCTAGAATGATCCAGATTTGCTCCGAGTAATGGCTCTTGTAAGCCAAGAGCAGCATTGATGTGCTCAGCTCGAGCTGCAGACACACTCAGACACACCCTGCATTGCTGGAAGTCTGTCTGCAGTGAAGCTATTGCAAAATGTCAGCATCACGTACTGTTAAACAATCAAAGTTACTCATGCTGGATGGATGCCCTCAAGGAGGTCAAACCCAGAGAAAGTCCCACAAGGCCTGAGGGCTTGAAATAACATAATTTTCCATGCTGAAGATGAAATGAAGCCAAATTGTAACACATTTAATTGTTCAGCCCTGTCTCTTCCAAAGCTGGTCATCTTTTCCACAGTGAGGACATCTCAGATTTAAGCAAGCCATCTGTCCACTGTCTACTTTTCCCACTGTCTCACTTTGACTGACTGCACATCCACTTGGCCTCTTCTCCAAAGACCCACACTGTACACAAGCTGGACACATAAGAGGCTTCCCCTTGCAACCACAGAAAGAACTTGGACAAACAAACATTCTGAGTAGAATCACTTCAGTGCTTGAAGAAACTACAGAATAAACTAGATACTTGAACTCCACAGATCTTTCCTTTCTCTGTCACAAGTTATTGCAACATACTGTTTTAAAAATCCCCAGCTAGGCCAAAATGTGGGACAGGAACAATCCCCTTAAATGGCAATGCATGTTCCCAACCTAAAAGGACTCCATTAACACAGACAACTGTTATTAAAAGGCCTTTGCCATCATCACTAATGACTGACTGTAAGTCAGGTTAGACAACTGTCAGAAAAGACCAAGGTGAGGTTTATCCCAATAAGGCAGGACAGACTCAGTGACCTATTATGAACCTTTCTGGGATTTTGTCTGACATATTTTTTATAAAGTCAAATAATTGGGGCTTAATTCCAGATTACAGGTCTTGGAGGCAGCACGGAGCTGAGCAGGTAGACCCTTTCAGCCCAGCTCTGCAGAGAGACTCTAGCAGCCTCAGTTTCACCAGCCCAACCCTGCATCTGGGAAAATAAATTCAGCCTCTTGGCAGAGCCAATAGTTCACCATGCTGGCAGAGCTACACTGCCTCCACTCCCAAAGACTTCCATATCAACCCTCCCCTTTAAGTGCACCATGCATTTTTTAAAAGTAAATAGGTAAATAACCTAAATAACTTAGTTTACTACTTGCGTTCTTGTTTTATCTTAAGGGTGAACATAGATGCAAGAAAACATTCTTATAGGAACAGCATCATTTCTCACATCATATATGATGCAATTATGATCACAATAGTTTTACAGAAAACCTAGACATAAACTTTAGCTGACCTACTTTCTTCAGCATGAAAAAGTATTTCTGATCAACAATTCTAAATATGCACATCAAGTTAATCCACTGAATGCATGATTTGCATAATACCACCTACCTGCAGCTGCAAAGCACAAAACCATCAAAGCAAACACTGAAGTCACACAACTTGACATTTTTGTAAATGCTGTATTCTTCTCAAATCAACTTGCTTTGTGGCTCCTCATGTAGATTTACTTTCTTGGAAATTTGTGGTGAGCTTTGAAATCAGATTTTCTGGAGTTTTAATTGCCTACAGAAAGAAGTAAAAATAAACATTAATACAAATACAACTTACAGAAATATTGTTAGATATTTAAAATTCTCTCTCTTGTAAGAAGAGAAACAGAACTCTCTCTTAAAGGTCTAGTAGGGGAGTGCATTTTATATTGTCAGATACCCTAGGTACCAGTAACCTAGTACTCCTGCCCTGTATTTCAGTACTTTGCAGATGTTGCTTCCTTCAATGATACATTGTGCAAGTTGGGATCTGTTTGGAAGCGAGGCCCCAGAGTCCTTTCTGTCAGCTAATACCACAGTCCCACTGAAGCCTGCCAGTGGTACTCACACCCTCAGACACGTTTATTTTAAGTAATCAGACTTTCCCTGGTGCATATAAACATTTGTTTACTCAGTTATCTGCTGCTACCTTTATTACAGCATGGAAAAATGTTTCACATGTGCTGGTTGGTGGGTAACTCAAATTTAACTCATCATTTCTCAGTATGACAAACTCTGAAAACTTTTCAATGCTACTCAACACTAAATATAAACATAAAACTTATCAGAATCTTTATTTTAAAATACTTTGAGACATGATATACCAGGTCAGTTAAACAACTCCAGCGTGCCATGCTAATAAATGACAATAGAGCTGATGCCTGCAAGCCTTACAAACATGGAAAATTCTGACCCCAGAATGCATGCTGCAGATTTTGGAGGGGAAACACTTAAGCAGATCCACAATATCCTCTTAAACTTTTTTTTTTTATTCTATTCTCAGTTATCTAGATGTCTAGAATAAGATTACAAACCAGGAAGGTAAAGAACAGGAATGTTGGTATTGAGCCTTTGGGAGCAGATGACAGATGGCACCTTGGCAACCACTAACACCCATCATAAAGTACTGCAAGAAATTACAAACCCCCATCATGGGACTAAGTGATAGCACAATGCTGAGTCAGGATCATGTGGCAACACGAATATCACTTAAAAGGCTCTTGCTGACATGAAAATGGAATGAAGCACAAGGACAAAAGGCCAGATTCTGTCACACAGTGTGTGCCACGCTGTGCACCAGCAGAAGCCTGCTCAACCAAAACCTGCACCCAGACCAGCACTTCAAGACCAGCACCCCTGGGGCTCTGAGGAAACTGGAGAAACTGCTCAGCAGCATTTCTGCACGGGTTATTTGGTGGGATGGCAGTGCCCTGTGTGCACAGAGCTGCATCTACACCCCTGAGAGGGCTGCTGGGGCCCAAGGGCAGAACTCCAGCCTCCTGCAGATCCTTCACTCGGCATCCAGCTCCTGGAACCTCCAAGTGCTCTTGGCAGTGCCCCAGACCCCACTGGGAGGTTGGGGAACAGGAGCAGCTCTGCAGGCTGCTGGGAACACCAGACACACTCCTGCAGGACAGCAGTGTATGGGGAGAGCCAGGAGCTGACTGTCTGTCACAACATGGGGGTTCATGCAGCTCCTTTTCTAGTGTCCCACCTAAAATGCACTTTTGGAAAAATGGCAAGACATTACAAATATTGAGCATTATTTGGGAAGTCAAATATAAACTGGAATAATTTGCTGCTATTTCTCTAGATGAAAAGAAACCTAACTCTACCTGGTGGTACTATTTGGTTGCTAGTTCAATTTTTAAATGCTGCCACAAAGAAAAATTCAAATAGAGGAAATAATGAGGTTTCTAGTCAGTGTTATCTATAGAAGACCATCATAATGTTCTGCAAGATGTTCTATGTGCAAAGAGGCAATGAAGAAGCATTCTGAAACCCAAGTTACTGATGTACAGCCATTTGACCACCACCAACAAACAGAAGAGAAACCAGAAAAAGAGCAACTACAGCACATATGCTAATAAAGAAAATCCAAGATGCTCACTGTCCCATCTGCATAAGTCTCTCATTCCTCAGTGACAATTTTATAAGGCACCAAGTTGTGTAGAAAGAGGGAGCACAGGGAAAGAACTGGAGAGAAAGAAATTATGTTTAGAATCCCATTCTGACCTGAGCATCTAAATGTGTTAAAATGACAAGCTGCAATTCAACTTGGATGAAAGTCCTTTTGAAAAAGGTGATTTCAAGGCAGAGAGAACACATACACATTTCCATCTGTAGGAGTGATTTGATCCCTACCACAATCTACTGACCAATAACATTTGCAAGGTATAACTCAGAGCTGCCAGTATATGATTGAAAAGCCCTAAACTTCTACCCTGATTCTGCCAGTTCATGAAGGGTGAATAATGAAGACTTAAATGAAAATTTGGAAGAGCTTTTTGAAGATGAGCTCACTTGCTTGAAGACATACACTCACAAACCTAAAATGTAGGGCAAATATCAAACATGAAAAGGTGACAAACTAACAGTGAGTTTCATGAACTTAGGATGAATGATACCCCAACTGTCAGCTCCACAGCTGCAATTTAAAAGACACATAAAACTGCTACTAATAACTCATTTAAGACTAAACCTACTAGGCAGGTAATTTTTCAATATTTTCCAAAATATGATCATGTGTGGCAGGAATCAGCTACCAAGCTGCTCTTAAGTGACCATCTGACAGTACCAAACAAACCAACCAACCAACCAACCACAACAGCAACAACAAAAAAGTGAGAAAGTTAAGTTGTGGCGCAAAATCTGCCAGATTTTGCTTCAGTGCAAGACCTGCTGTCACTAGAAAAAATGTGAAACCTGCCAACTAGGAAAAGCCAGTCCACAAAATAGGAAGCTATTTCCCTTGAAACAAGAGAAGAAATTATCATTTGTGGTCTATCCCTGTGCAAAGAGATAAGGAACCTAAACTATTTACCCAAGAAGTAAACACAACTGCTAGCCAACTTGACATTCAGAAGAAATTTCCAAGAGAATCATCTTTTCCTTTGGGGTATATCTGGGTGGCTATTTTTGTAAATGAGATCATGAAAGGGCATATTAAAAGTATAACCAAAAAAATCCTGATGTGGAAGAGAAAGAGAAGACATGAGTTTTGGGTTTATTAACTATGTTTTCATGCCAATGCTTTTTACTACAACAAGCTGCAAGGAAGGCTGGCAAAAGAAGGCATCTGAATCAAAACCATTGAAGACTATGGGGTCATTTTCGGTCATTTTCACTGAAATCTGTTGCTGTAAAGGCCACTAGTCCTGGTAAAAGTGAGGGTCTAAAAAGCACAAAGACCCTATTTTGTTGAGAAATATATATCTGCAGATCAAATCAGGAATACATGCTGCTGGGAACATCAGGAATAACCTGACTACTACTAGCTTTTATTAGGTATGAAAGAAGACTGGGGAAATGGAAGGGGAGGAAACACATTTTGAAGTACATAAGGACAAGCAGAGGAGAAAGCATGAGATTTTAATTTGGTTTCAGCTAGGAGCCTCTGGTGCCCATGAGAATTTTGATGCATAAAGCTTAGCTAGAACCCAGTGAAAAGCATGGTGCTTTTGAAAGATACCAAAGCACTGCCTGGAAGGAGAGATCTCATTGCTATGCTAAGCTAGAGGACAACAAATGTTGTCCTTAATTTCGTGGTACTTAAAGCAATCTACATTTGTTAGAGCCAGCAGCAGAGGAAACAAATCACTTGAGTATACTACTGTTTTCTCTCTGCCTTTCACCTACATAAATAGTTTTCTTTGTAAAATTCTGCTACTCATCTTCCTCAGAATTTCAGTCTTTGGATTTTTTAAAGCTAGCCTTTGGACTAAAAAGTCGCCTTTAATACTACAACAACATGGAAGAATTCACAGGCTAGAAGCATGACACTTACTCCTAAAAAAACCCTAAACACCTTTCCCTATGGATTTTCCAGTTCTTACTGACAGGCACTCCCAGACCATAAGGCTCTGTGGTCTATGGCTTGTCACTAAGAAATGACATTCAGCACTGTTCTGCCACTAGCAGAAATGCCCCCACCCCCACATGGGCCTAATGCTCTCTAGAAAGGGGACAGGACTCTGCTCTAAAGTGCTTGAAGAACTATAAATGAAAATGAACCACCCTGGGTCAGGTTCAGTCTTCAGGACATTTGATCACCTTTCTACTCAGCCCAATTCTGTACTTTTAGCCAAGTGACTATTATGCAGCAGTCACCTTCAAATCAGAAGTCTGCTTAGCTTCAACTTGTACACACTTTTCTTCTCTAGGTAAATTTATTTTTGCTTACTCCTTCAAAGCTTCTCTGCCCAGTGCAACCTGCAGGCAGCCAGAGCCACAGATTCTAGGGCGTTTCTGTTTCCTATTAAATGCTTCTCCAGCACAGGAATTTGTCACATTTCTTGCTGAATTGGGATCTTAGTGTTTTATTTACCCTCCCTGGAGCCCTTTCCCCAACAGCTACTATCTGCTTCATTAATCAGCACCTACCTTTCCCATACAAGCTCTTCCCCTGCCTTAACTCTACCCTTCTTGTTGTCTAAACTTTTCCTTTACTCCCTGAAGAATAACTTCCACTTCCTCTCTGCCTTATCAGCATGGACTCTGGTAATTCCCTCCTCTTTCCACATGTGGTGCCAGAGGTTGCACAGCTCTCTACAACACTGCTAACAAACACTCCTCTACCAAAGCAAGCCAAAATTCCTCCTCCTCTCAAGTCACATCACAAGTCCCAACAAAGTGAATGGGGATACTTGAGTGAAGCCAGCAGGATCTGTCCCTTTGTGTTGTTTTGCCATAGCAACATGAACCCAAGTTTCTAGGCCATCCAAGGCCGCCTTCACAGCCAAAGCTTTTTCACTTTTTGTTTGCTTGTTTTACACATGGCAACCATTTCACTCATTTAACTGGTTTTTCTTCCATTTGTCCAAGCTGCTTCCCTGGGAGAATGCAGTGAATACATGCATGCCCAGTGTAAGTAAATAGGGCAAACATTTGTAATCAAGTACACCCCATCTCAAGTAAAACAACCCCACAAATAGTTAACTATATGAGCAGTTCTATAAACTTAGGAACAGCAAAAGGGCTTATTTATAACCCTACTCCTATTAAAAATGCTTTTTTGAAGACTTATTAG